ATGACCCGCCTGGTACCTGAAATCCCGTGGAGCGTATGCGCACTCGACCCTTGTCCTCAATACCAAAGCAGCAGACAAAGCAAACACGGCCGGTCACGGAAAGTGTACTAGAAAAAACACTGCAAGTCGCGACTAGCTGAAAGGTGACGCATATTGGGCCGGCATTCGGCCCAATGACCTTCGGGAAGAGGGGAGTAGCCAATTGAGAGGCGTCCGATTAAGATGACAGCGCTGTAGAGAGAGAGAGCAAACGCACGTGGTCTCCAGTGATTGGTTGGCTCTTGCTTTTGGGTGTAGGCACTCCCAACAGAAGGTGACACCTACGACAGCAATGACCACCCACAATAGGTAACTGTTGGCCCTGACACTTCAGCGACGTACGTTCTAGCCACAGAGGAGGTGGCTGGTATAAATGCGTCGACATTTTGGCAAGTCGGGTATGCTGTCCGGGTTCAAGGCTTGCTGTGGTAGACAAAATCAGACTGACCTTTACATAACCTTGCCAGTTGATTGGCCCTATGATTATGGACATTTGGTTGTCGTTGCTGCCTGGTTGGCATGCCATAGCTCTGCATGTCGGTTAGATGTATGGCCGACACATCCTCCTGCGACAATAACCCTGCATCGGAAAGCTCAGACTCACTTTAGAGCACATAGGGGGGGGGGATGGAGTGAGAGAGAGAGAGGAAATGCGCTTTATTTTGAAATCGTAAGTTCAAAATTTTCAGCAAAAAATTGGCTCCATTCACTGTGGGTAGTAAATAAGTTAAGAGATTATTCAACAGTCAAAGAAACGATTATTATGGGGATAGTTAAAGTCTGAGCTTCTGTATTTCTGTCTCTTCGCACGTAAGATAGCGCGCCAGGAATGGCAATACGGAGGCTCGATAAGCCGATGTGCGACAGGGTATAAGACGGAAGTTGCGGCGCATCGGGCGGGAAGACTTGGCAGCCATAAGATCGGAATGTAGGGGATGGGCAACGTCATTTAGAATTCGACCAGCAAATTGCTTGACCGCATTGAAGTGTCGTTGTAAGATTGTGTCAACTAAAAAAATATGAGAAACGCCAGCAGCAGAAGAGAGCATGCGAAGGATTCGTTTCAAAATTAAAAGATCCTTTTTTAACAAAGCAGGAAAAACGACAGGAGAACAGTATAGGATAAGAGGAAGAATGCAGGCATCAATGAATCGCCAGACTAAGGGTTGAGGTGTGTAGTAGGAACGCAAACGACGAATGTAGTAAAGGAGTTTACGAACTTTAATAAATATGGACTCAATATGGAGGGAAAAAGAAAGATTTGAGGACAAAGTAACGCCGAGATACCTGAAAGAGGATACCTCATTAGGAAGAATGTCAGAGGAATCAGGGTTAGGAGAGGGCCGCAGTCGAAAAATACACTGTACGGCTTTTTGGTTGTTAATTAGGAGACCATTTGCCTCCGACCACGCTAGGACATGGTTTAGGCCATCCTTTAGAGACCGGAGGTGTGTCTGACTTTTGAGAGGGTGTCCAACAACCACATCGTCAGCATACTTGACCAGAAGACAGTCATTAGGGGACCTGAGATCATCAGTGTGGAGGGAAAAAAGGTAAGGGGATAGAATGGAACCTTGAAGAACACCGCAGTCATTGGGAAGGGTCGAAGATTTTCGCTTGCCAGATTGGACAAATTGGGTGCGGAAGCTAAAATAATCGCTCAGCCAAGAGACGACCCAGCCTGGAGAGCCACATGCGGAGGTTTTGGAAAGGAGAAGAGGACGCGGGACGGTATTGAAGGCGGAGGAGTAATCAAGAAAAGCGCAGGCATACTCGCGGCAACCCTTGTCTAATGCTTTTAGAGCAGAGTGGACCACAAGAGCGACATCATCTAAAGTACTCCGTTTAGCTTTGTATGCAAATTGTAAGGGGTCGGAAAAACTGGAAGAAAAAGGCTTTATGATATCTAGGGCAACTCTTTCAGCAAGCTTTAGTATTGCAGAGGAGCAGGCAATTGGGCGAAAAGATTTAGGACCAAAGTTAGCAGGCTTTTTAGGGATGGGAGTGATTCTCACTGTACGCCAGGCGTCGGGAACAGTGGAGGCGAATGCGCACATGTAAAGGAGACTTTACTCCAAATGTGGGACTTAATTTAGGAATTAATTTCACAGTGCATTATGAAGGTTCTGAGGGCTATGCTCCTCCTTTGACTGCCGTTGTCAAACACACTGCTTAATTCACTATCGCTAAAGCACTTCTTTCTTTTTTTTTCAATTTATGCATTCAGGGACTGTCGCCGTTGCACAGCACACAGCTTCATCTAGCGATTCGACTGTCGGTGAGTCCGCTATGACTTCTTGGCCTGTTCAATGCTTATTTTGGAAAGACAGAAGCAACTACCATTAGGAGGCGGTGATACTGGGACGAAACCGCATTCATACAGTCAATTGGCAGATGTTCCCACTAATCTGCAGCATTCTTTACCCTAATTAACAGTATGCACACCACAGATATATCTTCTTGTCTAAGATGGCGGCCCCCCATCCGAAACAATTGTCGGCAGCGGTAGGCGCAGCTGCGACAGTAATGACCAAACTTGATCACACACATTTGATGTCCTCGTGGCCTACTTTGCTGCAGCGTGTATTCTAGACGACATGTTCACAAGTTAATGCCCTTGCTTGCCTTTGAGTTCTCATTATCGAAACTAGCCGACAAAGGCAGTGGGAGACACGTTTATTCAACCTCCATACGAAAGGCTACTAAACAGTAATTAGACGCATTTCAGCATCTTGAAGATGCGGTTTAGGCAGTTGCACTTGAAGGTTTGATTTCGTCTCGAAGACAGCTACTCATACGCCTTTAAACCGTATCTAAACATGCGTGTTATGACATTTGTTTGTAGGCACCAGGTAGACTTAGCTTAGACTTGTCAGGAGGGCATGTTTTGGGAGAATGCATAAAGGGAATCAAAATCGGAAACGCACGCTCTTGATTAGCCATTATCAGAGCCGAACGTGCTTTTGCCGATGTTCACATCTTAAGTGTTTACATGGACAACATTACGGAATTTGAACTGTCTGCGAAAACCTTATGTATGCGTGATCCAGTGTTTTGTTAAGTGTATATAATAAATATAAGGCATTCTATCAGTCACGACGTACTAACATTCCTCACTTGAAAGTCCACTAAATGACGAGTCAGCGCTCTCCTCATTTAGTTCGAGGGTCAGTCTGCAGTGGATCCTTCATGGCATATTTCGACGGTTAATCATCATCCACGGTTTTGCCGAGGGAAGTTGAAGTCTGTTTCAATTGCATGCAAGAACCAGCATAGGTGCATCACATTCTTCTGGAGGCAATAAGCCACATAAGTCGGAATAGACGCACAGAGGCACTATCGACAGCACACATTCCAAAAAATTTCATTAACCGAAGTAAAAAAAAGTAGGATTTTAAGATAATTTAAGAGCTTGTGATAGCAAGACTCGTATATTTCCTGCAATAAAGAGGAGAAAGATACCAATTGCTGAATAGCACAAGACTGTGAGGGGTTCCGACATGCTGTGCCAAAGGTCTAAAGAAAAATAATCCGAAATTGACTCGCAAACAAATTTGCGGTTCACATAGTGAAAGAACAAATGGAAAAAAAGCGCAGTCTACGATCATAACGAATACGGCAGAAAAATTGCGATTGAAAATGTATCGATCGGAATCAATTTACACAAACACATATAATATCAAAATAGAAGGAAGACAAAAAGTAAATTAAAAGAAGAAAAATTCCTGAAAATAAAATGCAAAATAAAAAATAATGAACAATTAATAAATATATTATTTGCTCAAATAAAAACTAACTAAAGTGCACTCGCCACATTTCAGACGACATCGCCATCATATACGGAATAAACACAGAAACAAGTGCCGCATCGACCGCCGAGTCAACTGCTGCTACTGCAAGCAGCACAGATGCAGCAACAGTGACTGCAGAAGTAAATACGGCAAGCAGCACATATCCAGCTACAATGAGCACAGAAACAAGTGCCGCATCGACCGCCGAGTCAACTGCTGCTACTGCAAGCAGCACAGATGCAGCAACAGTGA